AGAAAACTAAGGTTCTTGTTTGAAGATTGAACATATGGAGAACAGCAGCTAAAATCATGGGCTGACTAGAGAAACTCACTCATGGCTGATAGAGGGTTGCAGGATCCAGCAACGTTCTGAGGTGGATCCCAGGCTTCCTCTCTTTTTTCCCTGTCTGTCAGAGTCAGAGCATGTGCAGGATTCTGCAAAGACCTCTTGAAACTATTTGGCTTTCATTTTAGGAAGCAACTGTGCATTCATGGGATAAGATCCTATCCTAGGGCCTTTCTTTTTGTTTTTCCCCATAGGTGGAGCAGAACTGGGCAACGCTACAGGGGGGTGAGATGACTATCCAGACGACGCAGGCATCAGAGGCCACGCAGGCGGTGGCATCATTAGCAGAAGCAGCGGTGGCAGCATCTCAGGAGATGCAACAAGGAGCCACTGTTACCATGGCACTCAACAGGTATGGGTGAGAGATGAAGGCTTGAAACATGCGTGCATGACATTTCCTTCTAAGTTTTCACTCTAATGGTGCAAAGACCACTGTGTAAAGTCCTAGTAGAGGCTTTTCCTTAGCAAATTCCTATGTCAGCCCATGTCCAGGTGTCTGCAGGACAGTTTCCTGCAGGACAGTTTCCTGCAGAACAGTTTCCTGATTTCCACTGTAACCATAGAAGAACACTGAGATGGAAATTTCCTGAAAGAGGAAAAGATGGGTAGTAACTGTACCCTCTAAATGATCTTATTTGTACAGCAAGTGTCCAGTTACAGAATTAAGCTTGCTAAGCAAGCAAGAGTCATGATGTGCTAATAGCACCTTTTAAGTATGTTGGTCTGGGTCTCCCTCAGTATTATTAATGGTTTCTTACCAAATGCTAAGGCTGAATTTCCCTGTGGTGTGGCAGTATGGTCTTTCTTTAGAAACCAGAATCTCTTCCAGAGACCAGTGTTCTGGGGGTTTCTCCCAAACGTGTTTCTGAAGTACAAGGTGAATGAGCTGCAATAGTAATGCTGCCTCTTCATCTTGGAACGAGCTTTGTTAGATTTTTAGTTGTACTCAGGTTACCAGGATCTGCAGTGTAGTTCTCTACAGGTTCATGCAGCAGGAAGCAGTGTCTTTGCTCAGCTCTAGTGAGTTGCTGAAGCTTTGCCTGCTGTTCTTAAAAACTGGAAGTGGCTATGGCACACTGCAGCTGTACCCTGAAACACAGC